TCCTTGGTGACTAACCAACTACCGGTATTAATGGCTTTCGAGGGCTCAAGCCTAAGAGGGGGATACTGTCAAGTCCATGCCGCGGGCCTCCATTCCGCCGCTCGGGATTCCGAAGATCTGCTCCTTATTGTTATCTCACTCTTATTGTTCTTTCTCGCTACACATACCCTTTCGTTCTAGTCCCTTCTTATTGTCTTTTACTCTACCCTGCAGGTACTACTCGTATAGCTCCTAGTAGTTAGTCTGGCGCTCCGCACCGCTGCGCCGATCCGTAGATATAAATACTGCCTGTACGCTACTGTAGTTCCTCAGTTTAATTATCGACTTAGATTCCCTCTTTCACTCGGCGCTCCTCTAAGTCTTCAGGCTTACTGCCTTGAAGTTCTCTCTACTCTACCTTAGGACTTATACGTTCTCTGGTTCGCTCCTCGTCACCGGCGTTATCGCCGCTCCGACTTGGCTGCTACTCAGCTCCTCTCTTCTATACTCTCGACCTCCGGGGACATACGGCGTAACGGCGGTGTTGTTAATAACTTCACTACTGTCCCATTCGTATTCCGCACTTAGACACTCTGTGACCTCTGGCACGGTTACACGGGTTGCATGATCTTAACACCTAACAGCAAAGCCCGCTACACCCGCGAGACTTAGAATTCCACATAACGCTATCGCGGATAGGATGAGCAACTTGAACATTGCAAGTGAGTTTTGCAGGCGTATTCCCCATTTGAGTAATGAACCGTGGAGAAGAAGAATGAATGTTAGGCAGAGGAAAGCCACGAAGCGGGTGTTAAGCCGTGTTGGTTCTTTTGCCAGTGCGTGAATGACATCTGTTGAAGGAAGTGATATGAATAAGTCCGGGCTTGGGTGGATCTGAAGTATAGAAAAGGACGTACATTCGCCAAACACTATACTATTCGCAGCTGCTGAGCCCTTTGAAATAGAAATACGCAGAAGGTGAATAAACCTTGGTCAGAGACGACGTATGACTCACAGTCATAACGGTGTAGATGGAATATGTGCAAGTAACCAAGAATTCAGGTCTTCAATAGATGAATTCCAGGTAATTCTTCTCTCCGCCGCTTCGAGGAAGACCCTATGTAGGATTGACTAGAACTGTAAGCACTTCTTGCCGTGAATCGAGATAGACACCGCCATAGTGGTGAAGAACAAAATACCGTATGGCATCAGCGCGTTGAATGGCATATTTGTAGTCGTTGAACGTATCGAGAAACCATGGATAATGCTCTGCAATGAACTCACGAGAGCTGTCATCTGTCCAAAGAAGGTATTCGCTGAGTTATAGACGATAGGACAACGACTGTTCCGACTAGGAAGAGACCGAGAACAGAAAGAAGAATGAATAGAGTACGTCGGCGAGCCATGGGAGTAGGAAAATGAAGGAATGTATGCACAAGAGGAATGCCGGTTGGCTCGATCCGGAATTATTTCCATGTGGCGCATGTGCCAGTCACATGCTGAGTATTTCTGACTTTGTTTAAACAAAGTCGCATCTGTGTTCATTGGCTTCCTCACAACTCCCAACTCCTCTGAAGGTGGGTGCAACCTGTCTGTCCAGGAAACCTCGTTTTTGGAGATGCTCAAGCCCGAGCAAAGCGCGCCAACGCAAGTTCAAACCTGGACGTGTCGCGGTCGCGCTTTGCAGCTGCTTGACGCCTCCAGAATGCGAGCTTTTCTCTTCGACGCGTTGGGGGTTGATTCTCATGTCATATCTTGCTGACGTCTGTGATCTTCTTAGGCCGGGCCACGACATGTCACCTCCATTTCCGACAGCTTTCCAGAACGCCGATAACATCGTGCTCCAGGTGGATGGCTCAATGCTGATGAAGAACGCCTACGAGCGAAGTTATCGCGTAGGGGTAGACGAGAGCGATTTGTCAGATATGGAAGACGAAGGTGCAGAAACTACGGCGGCGTCTCATTTGAAAGATCCTGAGGTTCTGCATTATCCAGGACCCCTCTTCCCTCCCGGTTCCACCTCTGTTGCTCGGTCCTTATCCCCCCACATGCCGTTGTCGGAATCCGTCCCAGTTGCAACACGAGAAGAGGTGTGCCCAAATGCATGCTCCTCCTACGCCCCAAGCATCTCCTCATCCGAAATCCACATACGCTCTCCCTCCTCTGTCTGTTCGCGACCTATAGCTGGCTCTCCCCAGCCGAAATGGTCCGAGACGATTTCCTATCCGTCCTCTCCCTCTTCTTTGCCTACACCTTCGCCTGTCCAGTCGGAGAAACAGCCGCCGGCTTCTTCAGGCAACGCATTCTCTGATCTCGCCATGCACGCCTCCGTCTCCTCCTTCTCTTCACCAGCTGTCTCCCGCGCTTCGCATTCACATCAGTCAGGCCCACATATGGGCAAACCCTTATCCTCCCCAGCCACGACGTTGTCGGATGCGTCCATGACCACCTCCTCTTCCGCCGCGTCGTTATCGGACGCGTCCACGAAACGCTTCCTGTCTTCTTCGGGGGACGCGTCTGACGCGGTCTCCAGAAGGCCAGAGAAGAAGCCAAGGCTGCAGGACCCTCGCAATCGCCGACGAGCCGAAAAACGCGCACGAGAGCGCTCGAAGTTAGGAACTCCCTTGGGCCAACGGCTGGCTCATGAGAGGCACGTTTTACCTGCTCAGGAGATGCCTAGCAATTTGCAGAGCGCTAGGCTGCCAGTGGCTGCTGGGGGCTTCATCGGTGTTGACGCAGATTGGTACGGTGCCAAAGCTCGTAGAGAGTTGGAGAAGATGAAGGAGCAGGGTTTCAAACTTGTGGAGTGGCAGACAGGGTAGGTGTTTGAGAACTACCCCCCCCCCCCATTCCTCTTCTCAACGTATGTCCTTTTTTGTAGCAAGAGTGTGCCGCTCGCAGACGGGGAGCACCGAGTCATGGTGTGCATGCTTGATGGGCCAGGCGATCCCACTTATCAAAAGGCGGTAGAGGACATGACCGAATTTATATTGAAAGCTGGCCAAGATACGACATGGACAAACAAAGAAAAGAGGCATAAACGCGGAAACTTTCCTGCCTTAGCCCGAGGAATTTCGTATGGGAAGGGGCAGCATCGACCCATGCGCTTGGTAGGAGACCGCCAACCCATGATGGATGAGTTGTTCAAAAAAGACTGCTTTCGGCGAGTTGCGGGCTTTCAGAACAGTAAGTCCCTTTGAAATCAGCTGACTTTGCTGTTCGTTGTTGAGCTCTCCATCAACAGGTGCTTTTGCGACATGGTTCCCCAGAAATTATGCAGAGCACTTGCGGCTTAATTCTGAGCTTGAACTCAAGTTGCCTCATTTGACGCGCAACTTCGACAACAGCGTATATCTTTGCATGACAGTTAATTTTGGACCTTCGACATGGACACACATACACACTGATTCAAAGAACGACGTGCGTGTCCCATGTGCTATAACAACTGGGGGGAAGTACAACTTTAAGCAGAGCGGCCATCTCATTCTTTGGGACTTCAAGCTCATCCTAGAATTCCCCCCTGGAGCTACCATTCTCCTACCTTCCGCTTTGGTTCGCCACTCGAATCTTCCCACAGCACCTGGAGAGACACGTATATCAGTCACCCAATATACAGCAGGTGGTGTCCGTCGATGGCTGGAATACGGTGGGAGAACAGAGGAGGAATTTCGTGCAGAGGACCCTCAGAAATTTGCAGAGGCATGGGCTAAACGAAATACGGGCTGGAAAGAAGGCTTAAATCTGTTTTGTACATTAGATGAACTCAAGACGTGCACTTTTTGAACAGGAAAATTGTGTATTTTGCTCCATATATCAACTACTTCGAGGTATCTTCCTGTAACAATAATTCATGTGCTATTTGCTTCCGAAATAGCCTCTCGCGAGCCTGATGAAAGCTCTCCGTAATGGGTCTGAGGTCATATTTCAAGGAAGGTGGCAGCTTTGTGACCAAAGCAGGCTTCAATAACGTGAGTGCTTCATCCTTGGCGGCAAAAGGGTCGTGGTTGTTGAGTAAAATATGTGCCGCTTTTCCACGAACCAACTTTTCCCGTGCTACCTGAATCTCCAGTTCCTCAATCCTCTTTGCTTGCTTCATTGACTCGTCTTTACCAAGTCGCAACTCTAGCTCTTCTATCCTCTTCAATAGCTGCAACCGTTCCTGCCGACACCGTATCTCTGCCTCTGCATACGAGTCAGAGACTTGAAGCCGCAGGTCATCAATCATGTACGAATGCCTCTGGTTGCGGATGATGGATTGGGTGCGGTACTTCCGGCCTTCAGCAATTTCGTCCTCAATTTTGAGAATGTAGGCGCGACTATTTCGCAACTCTGACTGAGTAACTTTGAGGCAACCAAGATTTGTCTGAACTGTCTGTGGTTCTCCAGAGAACTTGACGGCACGGATAAATCTGTCCAGTGCAATGACCTGCTTCTCGAGAACAGATCGCGGCATGCATTCCATGGTTTTGTTCTCCGCATTCCCTTAGACACACAAGTCAAGGTCTGATCACTTGTTAATTGAATTATTTCTTACCAACTGAATTTTTGGCATGGTGGCCTGATGTCTCCACCAAACTGCTCTCAAGTTTCTGCCCCTGTTCAAGACTAGTGAAGTCGATGCCGCAGGCAACACAAAGAGATGCCAGATATTCTTTTGAAGCAATGGCGGTGGAGTCGATCTCGGATGGGCTATAAAATTTGAGGTACGTGAATGAACTGTTTTCAACCAAGTGAAAGTTATCGCACAAGCCTGCTTGAGTTAGGACCTCATCGAGAGTCCCTGGAGTAGTAGTTGGCATCAGATTAGAGTCTACCTCCATATTATCCAAAAGTTCATTCGGAAGGACATTCATCTGCAGACTGGAGGATATTTTCGGTCCTTGGCAGCTGCGTTTGAAGGCTTTTGGTTCGAGCTGGAAAGGAAAGGAGAGGATCGAATCAGTTGGCCGAATTTGCGGCAACGTTGCACGTGTTTCAACTGGCACAATTTTTTTTTCAACTCGAACTTGACTCCTTCTTTCATGAGCTTCAACTTTGGGTCAACTGCAGACTTCGAGCCCCGGCCTTCAGATGCCTCACCCATCTCTACTCCCCGGATAGGATCTTATCCCAATTTCTTACGGAATATAGACAACCCAGCAGGTGTGGGCATGGGAGCCACCTCTAGGCCTCAGAGAGACCTTGCCGTAGCAGCTAACAGGCCATACACCCCTCCAGTAAGGCCACCTCTGCGATTAACTCATGGAATCAGCAGCTTTGCAGCACCTTCCAATGAACAAGATGTTCGCCACCTCGGGCTTTCACCTGGTTCGTATATTTCCTTCTTTCTATGATCTGCTCAAAACACCTCCCTTGAACACAGATGGCTACGACGACTGCCCCCCAAGTCCAATGAATAGATCTTCCCACTTTTCTGGCTCAGGACCTGCTTGTAATTTATATCTAAATCCGTCCCGTGTTTTTTTTTTTTCAGTTTTGTGTTTCAGATTCGACCTCAAATGAGGATGTTGATGAACTCAATGAGTTTGACGGCCGCCAAGAGCTGACAGTCCCCATCTTCAACAGCAGTATGCGTAAGATCCCAAGGTCTGACAGTGAAACAGCTGTCCTAATGACGTGGGTGGATGAAATTAGAGCTCAGTTTGCTCTAGAGCCCAACCAAGTACGCGAAATCAAGGGCATGGTTATGGTGTGTCAGTTCACGACCTGCTCACATCTGGCTGACCTCTTTCCGCAGCTTGCTCGTAATATGGAAACAGAGCCACTTAAACTTCATCTTCTTACACACGCAGCCATATGTCGCTCAGAAAATAAATATGCCTCCAACAATTCGCAGTCTTCTTCTGTTAAAGAAGTGGTTGATGTTGCCATGAATCAGCTTTCAAAGCATGTGGAAATACCGGCTGATACAAAGGTACGATGCTTCGTGTACTTTGAACGAGCTTTACAAATCTTCTTTAGAACGTTCTTCGTATGATTGCGCGTGATGAATGTGCAAATCCTACACGTAGTTCCTACGCCGATGTGGGGATTGCAGTCTGGGTTTGTTTGTGCTAGTGCTTCAATTCTGTGCCGTACTTATACCATGCTAGGCAAGATGCAAAGCCGAAGCCAACATGCATGACCTGACTGAGATGCTGTCGAAGACTAAATCTGAGACGGCTCTGAAGAAAGCAGCAAAAGCTGCAGGAAACAAGATTCTGCAGCAATTTCGCGATGATGTACGTGTAGTTTTCTGTTGTATGCCCCATATTAATCTATTTTCGTCACTCTTGTGGGTAGATAATGACGACCATCGTTGTTGATGAGAGTGGAAAGAAGGAAACTCAGAACTTGGAAAAGGCTACGCATGCACTCTGCAAGAAATACGTCAAAGGTGGAAGTGGTGGCACATTGCACCAATTTCGCTTTGCCATGATTGTAAGTACTTCTTTTCCTTACACTTTCCCACCCCATGGAAAATCTTTCATAGCGCCGTTTCATGCGCGAATCCGAGTGCGAAGAACAAGGACCTGTGTTGAAGAGACGCAAGACAAATAATGGGGGACGTCAAGCACAGGATGAGGCCTTTTGGGGTCGTTTTGACAAGTGTCTTAAAGAGAAGATTGACGATTATGGTCAGAACATGAAAGTCGGCAAGTGGAAGGAGTAGGCTGGTTGTCCTCTTATTTCTGAATCTCGCTGAACTCCTATTCATAGGTATTTCTGCGAGACTGTGCAGGCGGACTGGGAACGTTTCGGTAAACCAAGTAACATGCTGCTCCCTGCTCTTCCTATTGCAGCCAATAGTAACGGAACAACAACTGGACGTGCCCCTCTGGCAGAGGTTCCTAATAACGCCCACAGTGTTCCTAGAGTTTCGGGGGTAGAAGATGGATTGGCAAACCATGATGATGAATATACTCAGTTCTAGTTAAACTCTGATATTATTTGTCATATACAATACTCAAATGCTTGCCATGGATATTTGTGATGAGCGGGCTATATCGGATACATCTTCGGAGACCGTCGGAAACAAGCAAATTTTATGGAAGGAGCAATGCAATGTAGAGTAATATCATAAGTTTCTGGCTTCGTAAGGATGGAAGGATATCAAACTCATAAGAACTCTAGCTCATAATCTGGTATTTAGTCTGATACAACCACTCGACCTTTTTAGAATACAACCTTATTTAGTCTGAGCCACTGATCATAATCTCAGTGATGCTATTTTGATGGATTTCTTTCCTGACTGTGTACAGTGCTTTGCGTAATTCTTTGCTTGCTCGACTTTTTCCTATCTATTTGTATTTATTTATTTGTCCAATATATTTTGCCCCAAAAAGGATTTCAACAATAGCTTTTTGAAGCCCGACAGCCCCGGTGGTCCTCGAAGAGAGCCCTCTCGAGCCTCGGCCCAAAAATGTATTGGACAAATAACTAGAACTAAGCAACAATAAACAGTTGGCAAAAAATCCATATGAGCAAACCTCTTTGCAAAGCACTGTATGAGACATTGGTACCATTGTAGAGCACCAGACCCAAATAGTCATGGTCAAGTCAAATTTTGGTGACCTTGCCCATGACTACTGTCCGGTCGGCAACCTTAATGCCTGACGCGTGACCTTGCCAACACTGGTGAGAATGGAATGTACAATTAGAGGTTGACACCATGAGGGCACCAAGTTGGTTCTGATCAGCCCGCATATGGATTCTCCGAGAAGCATGACAAGATGCCGGGGCTGCCTTACACCTAGGAAAGAAACAACAGAAGGAGGGATACGAATGTGGGAAGCGGAAAGCTCACCAATTCAAAGTTGGGGACCTAGTCTGGCTCAGTGCAGAGGACATTAACCTTCAGCTATCCAGCGAAAAGCTAGGAGACCGGCAGCTTGGACCTTATCGTATTCTGGATTAAATTGGGCCTTTAGACTACTGCCTTGACCTTCCCCTATACCTAGATCACCTTCATCCCATCTTCCATATTGACAAACTATATCCCTGGAAAGGTAACCCCATTAACAGTGAAATACCAACACCACCAGAGCCAGTATACTTAGAGGATGAAGATGAACCGGAATACAAAGTGGAGGAGATCTTAGACAGTCGGGTTCGATGGAAGAAGTTGGAATACTTAGTTAAGTGGAAAGGTGACGATGCAGGACACAACTCTTGGGAACCCGCACCCAACCTCATTCGGGCACCAAAAATTATTTGAGCCTTTCACAAAAAACATCCAACAGCAGCAAAACCTTGACCATCGAGGGCAATGGTCATAAGGAGGGGGGTAATGTCATAAAGTACGCAGCCCCTATCACTTTCCTTTTCTCACTGTCTCGATGCCTTTACTTGTACAATACATCATCCCATCACTGTCAACCCCCATCAATTACTGATCCACCTGACCCACCTTCTCTTTCTATCGGCTTCTGCCACCTTCCTTGCCCCTGAACTGTACAGTATTACATTGTTGTTTCTTGCAGACCGGATTATGTATATATAGCCAACCCTCCACAGCCTGGTCCCTTATCTTGACCTCTCTGTCATTATCTGGGACCAGGTATGTGCTTACTTATTATTACCTATGACTACAATACTCAATATATCTCTGTCATTATCTGGGACCAGCCTGCCTCCGTTCTGCTTAGTCGCTCTGCCTTGCTGCCTCGCTCAGTTGCTCCGCCTTGCTGCTCTGCTTAGTCACTCCGCCTTGCTGCTCTGCTTAGTCACTCCGCCTCTGTCGCTTCGTGACATTAGGTCAAGATCCATTACTGCACTGACAGCCTAACAATAAAGTTGTCCGAGACTAAGAGGAAGGAATCATAGTATAACAACTGCAGCCATGGTAGACTGTGGAGCTACCACCCTGTTTTTAAACCAAGACTTTGCCACCCGGAACTGTGTAAGATGTGCACCCCTTCATAAACCAATTGACATTTTTAATATTGATGGAACACCTAACCGAGCCAGATGGTAACGAGCTTGCCTTGTTTTTGTGTGAAAGAGAAAGGAAGGAATCAAATGGGCACTCCAACCAACCAATCTAATACACAATATGCGAGTTCACTGCTATCAAATTTATTTAATAGCAAGGGATAGTATTGTTAAAGGTTCCATAAAGCTTTGAGAACTAGGGAAGAAGCTTTGATCAATCAATTTGAATTGTTCTAAGGATTCGGTATATTCCTTTGATTAAGGTAGATTCAGCACTATTGGTGCTTTGGTTGTATTGATATGGGTATATCAAGAATTGGGGTTTTGAATCAAAGTAAATTAAAACCAAAACACACAGACCCCTACGGAGGGCTAGAACTATGTGCTGGCACAACCACACAGCATGATTTGCCCTTAAGACCAACGACTGATCCTAAGTTCAAAGAATACCCAACAGCTGGATATAATTTCTGGCAGTCACAAGGAGCAGAACACGACGTTCCTATACTCACAAGTGCCGGGCCTGAATGGCTGCTAGCGAAGAGGTTTCAGTCTGGCGGGAGTGTGTCTTTCCTCTTTACGGATTAGCACTGCAACGTCGTCCCAAAATCACTTCCATTCCAGATACATCGGATCGCTATTTATACATACAGGATATAGAGTCGCACAGTACAATTAACTTAATAAAATAGATGTTCGGAACTGCAAGGAAACTTCTACAATAGGCCAGATATCATTTAATTTGAATCTACATGTCCTTATTTGGTCCATAATGGTTCCAAGATTCTAGTATACCTCCAAACATAGGTAGGTACCTCACTATTCATTTAATTTAATTGCTTTGGAAAATGACTTGAATGGTGTTCAGCTGTCATTGCTGTTCAACACTTCCTTTGATTGTTTGTCACCTTGTCCGGAGGCAAATCAGCTCTCCTGGTTTCTAATCCTATCAATCTGATTCATCTGGATTAAACTAATTGCTTTTCTCTTTCAATAGATACCCATTGTGCCTATACTCTATCAAGGGAGTTATGCATAGTATTCATATTAGACTAAATCACAGTCTTTTAGATTAATGCATGATCTCATTCTAGAAGGAGTATTTGACAATTCCTGAGTTCTAGAAAGTCATTTTGAGTCAATCCTCGGCTCATGGTCACTTCAGTAAGTTCTTCCAAACTCCTGCCAGTGTAAGGTCCAATAAGAATACCCTTGGTATGTCATACATGAAAAGTCATCCTTCGGATGTTGTCCGAGTTTGGTATAATCCTGCTTGACAAACAGGTAGACTTTTATCCGAAGGTAGTATCAGGGATGGGTAAACTAACCAACTTGTGGTAGTATGGGTATATGGTCCCTTCAACTATTAGACTGATTCAGTATTGACTTTGACTGTCAATCTGGGTCTCAATTACAGTTCTCTTGATACAAATCTATGTGTGAAAGTGTCACAATTCACAGCATAGATGTCTAGCCAAAATTTAGGTGTGTCAACGGATCACCCATTTTGCATGCCTAGCACTCACAGTGGATAATCAAGAGTGACGGATGGACTTCCTGATTACCAACCTAGGAGGTGAAGACATTATCCTTGGACTCCCCTGGCTACGGAAGGTAAATCCAGAGATCGATTGGGAGAAAGGATGACTTTCAGTAAAGCCCCCTTGAGTAGCTATAGAAGAAGTCCCAGATGAGGAGATCTCATACTCTCACCTAGCCACTGCTAACACAGAAAGTGTCATGAAGTACGTAGCCCCTATCATTTTCCTTTTCTCACCGTCTCGACGCCTTTACTTGTACAATTACATCACTGTCAAATCCCATCAATTACTGATCCACCTGTTACCCTTCTCCTTCTACTGGCTTCCGCCACCTTCCTTGTTCCTAAACTGTACAGTATTACATCGTCATTTCTCGCAGATCGGATTATGTATATAAAGCCAATCCCTCACAGCCTGGTCCCTTATCTTGACCGCTCTGTCATTATCTGGGACCAGGTATGTGCTTACTTATTATTACCTATGACTACAATACTTAATATATCTCTGTCATTATCTGGGACCAGTCTGCCTCTGCTCTGCTTAGTTGCTCCGCCTCGTTGACCTGCTTAGTTGCTCCGCCTCACTGCCTTGCTTCGTCCCTCTGCTCTCCTGCTTCACTAAGTTACTTTGCCTCTGCCGCTTCATGACAGAAAGCCCAATCCCTGAACTCCCGAACCTGGAACCTCTAGCTGAACCCCCTCACATTGAGGTGCCACTGGAAGCAACCCTTGAAGAGAGTGAATCAGCAGGGGTGGAGGAACCTCCAATACACTGAATCCGAGCCAATCATAAAACTCGTTGGGCATGGGTAAAAGCAGGAATCCTAGAGGAACAGACTGAGGAAGTCTGGTGCGCCGCAGGATTCACTTATTCCCAGCAGCTAGCAGAGGAAGCTAACCGAGACAAGCCTGTTAAAACCTTTGAAAGATGGTCCCTGAGCAGTACCGTGATTTCAAGAAGGTTTTCTCAGAATCTGCCTCTGAACGAGTACCTGCCCACCAACCTTGGGACCATGCAATTGATCTCATACCTGGAGCACCAGCAACCATGCGCACCAAGATTTACCCATGTCCCTAAATGAGCAGGAGGAGTTGGATCACTTCCTGGGAGAAAATCTGCAGAAAGGCTACATTGTTCCCTCCAAATCACCCATCTCGTCCCCAGTCTTCTTTGTGAAGAAGAAGGATGGGAAACTCCGTTTCGTACAGGACTACCGGAAACTGAATGAGTATACTGTGAAGAACTGCTATCCCCTCCCATTGGTGGCTGATATAATTAGTTGGCTCCAAGGGGCTCGATATTTTACCAAGTTCAATGTCTGCTGGGGCTATAACAATGTTTGAATCAAGGAAGGTCATGAATGGAAAGGGGCCTTTGCAACCACATGAGGGCTGTTCAAGCCTAAGGTTATGTTCTTTGGTCTCACCAACTCCCCCGCAACGTTTCAAGCACTTATGAA